CTCCCCGTCCAGGCTGTTCAGGGCTGAGGGGACAACGGTCAGCGACAGGACACGGCCGGACACAGCTGGACACAGCCAGACACAGCCGGACCCTGCCTGGACACCAAATCCATCCCAAATCCACCCCAAATAGATCCCAAACCAATCCCAAATCGATCCCAGATCCCCCCAATGGATCCCAGATCCCGGCTGGATCCCGTACCGGTGACGGAGAGCTTCTCGATGGCGCGGCGCTCGCCGCGGCTGCAGTGCGGGGGCAGGGAGTAGCCCTTGATGCTGCGGCCGGTGCGGACGCGGCTGCTCAGGACGTATTTGGGGTCCAGGTCCTCGCCCCCCTGCGACCCCCCCCCAAAAAAAAATTCCCACTCAAGGGGGGGGCGGCCACAGCCACCCCCAAAAAATGCTGGATTCGCCGGGAAATGATCCCAAAAATCTCCCCAAAATTATCCCAGAATCATCTCAAAATCTCCTCGAAATCATCCCAAAATCCCCCCAAAATTATCCCAAAATCATCCCAAAATTATCCCCAAATCACCCCAAAATCCAGCTCGAAATCACCCCAAAATCCCTCAAAAATCATCCCAAAATCATCCCAAAATCACCTCAAAATCATCCAAAAATCACCCCAAAATCCCCCAAAAATCATCCCAAAATCATCCCAAAATCATCCTCGAAATCATCCCAAAATCCCCCTTGAAATCCAGCTCGAAAGCATCCCAAAATCATCCCAAAATCATCCCAAAATTATCCCAAAATCCCCCCAAAATCCAGCTTGAAATCATCCCAAAATCCCCCCAAAATCCCCCTCAAAATCACCCCAAAATCACCCCAAAATCCCCCAAAATCATCCCAAAAATCATCTCAAAATAATCCCCAAATCTCCCCAAAATCCCCCTCAAAATCTCCCCCAAAATCCCCTCCTGAGACCCCTCCCAAATTCCGGGGACCCCTCCCAAATTCCGGGGACCCCTCCCAAATTTTGGGGACCCCTCCCAGATTCCGGGGACCCCTCCCAGATTTCGGGGACCCCCTGACCTTGAGGTTCTCGTGGTTGAGGTCGGTGACCCCTCAAGGTGTTCCTGTCACCCCTTCCTGACCCTCCTGAGACTCCACCCAAATTTTGGGGACGCCCTGAAGATTTCGGGGACCCCTCCCAGAT